TGCAGAGAGTGGCGCCACAGTAGCCTGCCCATTCATAGTCGTGCGGAGCAAAACCCGCACCCCCACCAGCCCTGGCAGGGGATGCCACTGCATAGAAACAGAGAGCAAACCCCATCCCTTTCTAGCACTGAAGAGGTTACCCAGCCGGGTAATGAGACGTTTGCAGGAAAAGAACCAAGCTCAGAGAACCGCAAGGACTCCACGGAGCGTCCTCTCGCCTTTACTTGCTCGCTGGGGCTTTGCCGGGGGAAAATGCGCCCTTCCTCCCCTTTTTCTAGGAAACGGAGGGATTCCCTCCCCTCTCTGCACGTGCAGGTTCTCATTTTTCTTCCTTGCACCATGCACGAAAAGAGGAACTGCGGAGGTTGCTCCCCTGCCAGGCTCACCCACCCACCCTGGGTTCCACTTAAATACTCACATTTACTAAATGTTGGGATTTTCTTTTCGGGCAGCCAACACGACGCTCACTTTTGCTTGTTTTAAGAGCAAAGGCAATCCGGGACTTTCGAAGGGTTAAAATAAGGGAGCGTTTCTTCCTAGAGGGGAGAAATTCCAGCGGGCAATCATCGCTTCCTGTCCCCGGCTCTAGAACTGCCCTTACGTAACTCACGTCGTCTCCGTCTGGCAGCCAATGCTGGCCGGTATGGGGCGCATGCTCAGTTTTCATTTGGAGGCTAGAGTGATGCCAGGCGTTGCAAGATTCTCCGTAGGGAGCCGGGGAAATATACGCATCTTATGCAAATACAGTCGTTGGGTCTCCACCTACGTTGTGTGAACAGCGTTTTTACAATGCTGATAGATTTATGTATTAGCATCAAGTGCTTAATGAAAACGGTGCTGTTTTTTGATGGTTCCCCCTTCCTGCCCTCCGTGGAACCTCTGGAAGATCTGCAGCGTAGCCAATTATTCCTACTGATATTTGGGCTAAGAAAGACCGCTTTGGAGCCACGGAAATTTTGAGTGACTTTTTTTTTCTCCCGATGCTCTTTTCTCATACCGCTGCTTTTCATCATTTGTTTTAATGCTTAATTTGTATTATTGTTACCCAACTTCAGTTTTTTAATTTTTTAAAAAATGAAAAGCTACGATCTGAATGTTAAATAAGCGAGCAATGCCTTACTCCAAGGGTCCCCAAACTCTTCAGCTCATTGGCAAGTTTCAGATTGTTCACTGACCTCCAAATATTTACTATATGAAAGTAATTTAATAAATACTACTTTAATAGTACTATTAATAACAATAACAACGACATCGACATCTTGGATAGTCCCATCAATCCTTGGAAGTTGATATTGACCATTTTGGGGAAGCCTGCATTACCCACTGCCCGTCGACATCTTTTCTCTTTAAGGAATATGCCTGGGAGTTGGAGAGAGGAAGATTGGGGAATTCATTCTAACAATCTTGAACTGAAGTTTTAAATGCATCTGTTTCTGAAATAGGGAATCCACCTTAAAGATGTAGTTAGAGAAAAAATATGTCTGAACATGTTGAGGGGCACATATTTATTTGCTGTTCTCTTCCTGTCCTAGGAGGTGGTAAAACCCTTGTCCTCCATCAATTTGTCTAATCTGCTTTTGGAGTCATCTAAGTTGATCCTCCAAATTATTGATTTATTTGGCCACCCATGTGGTAATTAGTGACTCTGGATGGCTAACATAGGGTTAAAAATGTAAAACATTCCTTCCTTTTCCCCCCCTTTTTTTCTGTTTCCTTCCTTCCCTCCCTCCCTCCCTCCCATTGGAAACTGCTATTCTTTCTTTTCATTTGTTTGTTTTTGGCAGGCAAAAGGTGAAAAAACATCCCATATGCATAGTATGCCGTGCAAATAAATCTTTAAATAGCCGGGTGGAGGGAGACAGTCCCTGTTTATGCAAGGCTAGGTTTAAGTATAACCAACCTAACAATGTAGATTTAAAAGAAGTTGATTTTGAAATGTTTTCAGAGTTGCCCCTAAATGAAGGGGCTCTCAAACATTACGGTGCTGCAGCTCCTCCACCCCCGCCCCCAGTGACCAGTGAATCCATTGATCCCCCACCTCATGAATCAAACTAAAGATTTCAGTGGGGTTAGGGCTGGGCAAGAAATACACACAACACCCAACTGAAAGAATTAAATTTCCCTTGGTGCTCTGGGCTGAATTCTTGCAAAACCATTTCCAGGCATAGTCTTTTTGTTTGAAAAGAAAAAAAAATGACACAGCAAATAGAAGGGAAAAGTTGTTCGAGTGACAGAATGATGGAGCTCCTCCAAGTTCTCATGGCTATGTACAGCACACCCGCTCCTCCCATTTTTTTTCCCCTACGCAGCAACTCTTGATGCAGAGAGCTGACAGATTGTCATTCACCAAGCCTCCAAGGCTGACGGTGGGACTTGAATCTGAGTTTGTGCAGTCCTTGCCCAACCCACTGATAAGAAGCCTTCTTATCAGCCTCACATGAACATCTGTGTGTAAGTCCATATATCTACTAGCATGTTCTTTATGAGCCTTATAAACATATATCAGTAGACTTTCAACTTTTTTGTTCAGATGCAGCATTTAATCGAATCAAATCAATCTTTATTATGCTCATATATCAACATAGGGAGGGGCACAGTCATTGGGAACATAAAAATATAACACACACAAAGAGAAAGTATTACAATCTAAAAATCTAAAGGAGAGGATGGGAGCGTCAGAAGAGTATAAGGGAACATCTATGTACATATATAGTATGTGAGAAATTATAATCTAATATGGCAATCTAGGTGCACATTGAAATCAATGTCATTTCTTGTATTTTTAATTTTAATTTTTTTCATTTTTCATTTTTTAATTAAATATATATCCCATCTTTCTATTCATAGGTCTTTTGCATAGTTGCCTCTCTTCAGTGTAACCAGGACTCTGCTACCTAGAAAATAGAAAAGAAAAAATTAACATTCTTTTCCTGATGTTCCTGCTGATGATTCTAGCTTGCAGATGGGAAGCACTGAGGGTGAAAAGTGACGGCTACGCCATATGTCAATGACAGCCATTAGGAGTAAAACTGGATGAGTTAACCAAGATAGCTGCAGGGACCAATGGCAGGTTTTTTTTCCACATCTCCCTTTCAAAGCTTCCCACAGTGTTTAGATCTGAGTGAATAGATCAGTTGCTTCTCAATCCTGACAACTCTTAGATGTGTGGACTTCAGCTCTCAGAATTCCCCACCCGCCAATGCAGGTGCGGGGGAGGTGGGGAGTAGAGTGGCACAAAAA